ATACATTTATTATGTAAACACAACACACTTGACAGCACTGTTTATTATTGTTGTTAAACAATAACAATATTAGAAGTAATAATAATAACAGTGATTTATTATTAGTACTAATTATTATTATTGTTATTATATTGTTTATAAATTATATTCCATTTCTACATTATTTGTTTTCACTAACTCAACATGAGTGAAAATGAGTTTATGTTAAAGACGTGATGACCATGTTTACCCAGAAGCCCTTGAGCCAACACTAACACTGCTAACATTGTTCTTTTCGTCTGAACTTCCAGAGAAACCGTTGAAAGATGGGGAAGACGCAGCTGACCAGACCCTCTCAGACTCTCTTTTTGCACACTGGGGTCATGACCTCGGCCCAGAGAGCCGCAAGGTGGCTCTGAAAAAGTTCCAGTACTACGGTTACAACGGCTACCTCAGCGACAGACTCTCTCTAGACAGAGCCATCCCAGACCTCAGGCCCGACGGGTGAAACAATCACTCACTGCTCACCACCTTCTCCTCTCTCACTCTTATTAGCATATATATATACACAGCCTTTGTTCTTTTACAAACATCGATTTTCCTTTATCATCATGGTCACAGTGAACAAAAGGAATCGCTTAGAAGAAGATAAGATAGGGGAATGTCTTCATATATCATCAGTCTCAATCATCAGTTGTTGTTTTTTTGTAAAAAATGTTTTAAATAGTCTCCTGCACACAATAGTGTGTCAAAAAAGCCTCAAACAATAAAATAATTTATGATTTTTTAAAATGTATTTCATATAATGCGATTGTTGAAGAAAATGTAATAATAATTCAAGAATAAATGCAAATTTACTTATACTTTTTTACAATTTAATATGACAATACAAACTGTATATTACTATATCTATCTATATCTAACTATCTGTCTATCTATCTATCTATCTAAAAAAAAAATATATATATATATATTTTATATATATTGAGCTTGTATATATATATAAAGTCATGTGAAAAAGTTAGGACACCCTCTTTAATTCCATGGTTTTCCGTATCAGGACATAATAAAAAAATAATAATCTGGTCCTTGACAGGTCTTACAATTTGGAAAATAAAACCTCAGATGAACAACAACACATGACATATTGCACCGTGCCATTATTTATTTAGCAAAAATAAAGCCAAAATGGAAAAATCATTTGTGACAAAGTTAGGACACCCTTACTATTAACATAAGAATTAAGAGGGTAAGTAGCTGTCAGGCACTGCTAATCAAAAGCCTTGATTAACTGATCAACAAGTGTGAGTACCTCTATAAAAGCAGAAGTTTTGGCAGTTTGCTGGTCTGGAGCCTTCAGGTGTGTGTTAACACAATGCCAAGGAGTTAAGACATCAGCAATAATCTTAAAGAAGCAATTGTTGCTGCCATCAATCTGGGAAGAGTGACATGACCATTTCCAAACAATTTGAAGTCCATCATTCTACAGTGAGGAAGATTATTCACAAGTGGAAGACATTCAAAACAGACACCAATCCTCCAAGGAGTGGACGTCTCAGCAAATTCACCCAAAGATCAGACCGTGTAACGCTCAGAGAAATGGCAGGCAACCCAAGAACTACACCGCAGACTCTACAGGCCTCAGCTAACATGTGAAATAATAAAGTTCATGACAGTACAATTAGAAAAATATGGGACAAGTATGACATGTTTGGAAGGCTTGCCAGAAGAAAGCCTCTTCTCTCTAAAAAAGTATGGCAGCACAGTTTAGGTTTGCAAAGTTGCATCTAAACAAACCATAAGACTTTTAAAACAATGTCCTTTGAACAGATGAGACCAAGGTGGAGATTGGCCATAATGCACAGCAGCACGTTTGGTAAAAACCTAAAGAGCATATCAGCACAAACACCTCATATCAAAAGATACACATGCTGGTGGAGGGCTGATGATTTTGGGCTTGGTTTGTAACACCACAGGACCTGGGCACCTCACAGTCATTGAGTCGACCGTGAACTCCTTTATATACCAAAGTTGTCACGGTGCGTGCGGGGAGATGAAGCGAGGACTCAATCGCTGGAGAAATGGTATTTTATTTTAGTAAAAAACGAAACCAAAACAAACTCAAACCACCCCGAAGGGGAAAAACAGACAGGCAGAGCTAAAGCTGCACACATGCAGACACGAAACACACACAATGAGAAATGACGGATCAGCACAGGATGACAGACACAAGGAGAATAAATAGTAACCAAACGAGGAGGCTAACGAGGGAGACACAGGTGGAGCAACTAAAACAATAACGAGGTAACAAGATGGGAGGGGCCAGACAATAGACAGGAGAGAGCACATGGCAACAGACAAACACAACACAAGCCATGTGCTCCCAGAACACAGTCATCTGGTGGCCCTCCTGGGCACACCCGCTGAAGACTGTGACAAAAGTATTCTAGAGTCAAATGTGAGGACATCCATTCGGCAGCTAAAGCTTGGCCAAGACTGGGTGATGCAACAGCACAATGATCCCAAGAAAACCAGCAAATCTACAACAGAACAGCTGAAAAGAAAAGAATGAAGGGGTTACAATAGTCCAGTCAAGGTCAAGACCTCATCCTGACTGAAATTGCACATCAGCGGGGTCTGCGTGGAGAGGGTTCTGCCCTTCAGATTCTTGGGCATGAACATCGCTGAGGATCTTTCCTGGAGCACAAACACTTCAGCAGCGGTCAAAAAAGCACAGCAGCGACTCTATTTCTTGAGGACACTGAGGAAGAACCATCTACAAGAGCAGCTGCTAGTGTCCTTCTATCGCTGAGCCATTGAAAGTGTGATAGCTTACTGCATCTCTATGTGGTACTCCAGCAGCTTAGCGGCAGACAAGAAAGCTCTCCAGTGGGTGATCAGTTCGGCACAAAAAATCATTGGCTGTCCTCTGCTTTCCTTAAAAGAACTTTACACTGCATGCTGCCTTGGAAGGGCATCGAACATTTTAAAGGATCCCTTCCATCCTGGACATAATTTGTTTAAATTGCTGCCCTCTGGTAAACGTTTTAGGTCCATCAAATCACGGAACAATAGACTTGAGAACAGCTTTTATCCCAGCGGTATACGGGAGCTGAACGCTGTCAGCACACACACACACACACACACACGCACACACAACACACACACATAAAAAATGAGAAATATGATGAAAATTACAGGCCTCTCTCATCTTTTTAAGTGGGAGAACTTGCACAATTGGTGGCTGACTAAATACTTTTTTGCCCCACTGTATCTGATGGGGCATCTTATATCTCAACCGACACAGGTTAACAACACCCTCTGTATACCGCTGTGTGTGTGTCTATTTAGTATAAGTTTATATTATTCAGTTTGTGTTTGTGTGTTTATTCTGTTGCACTTACCTGTCTTTTATTGTGTACAATATCATGCAGCACTTTCTGCTCACCGTGCAATATTTCTGTGCAATATCTGACTGTTCATTTTGCTGTTATGATTTCTCTTCTAATTAAATTAGATGTTTAGCTTGCACTAATTTATGTGTGATTGCACTGTATGGATTGTTCTAATTTAACTGTACTTTTAGTATAGTGACAATAAAAGAATCTTGAATCTTAAAATTCTGTGATTATAGCTGTGTTTAAACAAATGCCCTTAAACCTCAATAAACTGGAGCGATGTTGTAAAGAAGAGTGGGATGAAATTCTTCCAGAACGATGTGAGAGACTGATAAAGCAATTGAAGGCAATTGAATCATAGGGTGTCCTAACTTTGTCACACATGGTTTTTCCATTTTGGCTTAATGTTTGTTAATTAAACAATAACACAGTGTGATATGTAATGTGATGTTGTTCATCTGAGGTTTTATTTTCCAAATTTGCCAAGGACCAGATCATCTTTTATTATGTCCTGATACAGAAAACCATGGAATTGAATAGGGTGTCCTAACTTTTTCTCATATATCTATATATATATATGATGTGAGTGTGAGAGAGATGTCAGTGTGCGAGTCCAGTGATGGACTGGCCATCTGTTCAGGGTGTTCTCCACCTGTGGCCTGAAATACTGGGACAGGCCCCAGCGGTTTCAAAAATGCATGGATGGATGGACACTCTAAGAAAAAAATATCAGCCATTTTTAAGGATGATGTTCAAAATTTAAGCACATTCCAAACTTTGGACACTTTAAAATTATAACAGTTAAATCTAGCATTTCCAAACTTTTAAAACTGCCCATAATAACTATTCAAACCTTGAGCCCTTTGGGTCCTGGACAACTGTGTAGAACAGGGGTCACAACCCTAATTAACACACCTGAACCAGCTAATCAAGGACTTAGGTGGATCTTAGGTAGATCAAGGCAGGTGTGTTGAGGCAAGTTGGAGCTAAGCGTGGTGACCCCTGGTGTAACATCTCCTATATCTGTCAATTAGCCCTAGCCAGTGCTTCTCAAACCTTTCTTGAACAAAACATTTTGTATATCTCTCTCATTTAACACACCTGATTGAACTCAACCCATTAGTGGAGACGGCAAGACCTGAATTGTGTGTTCAAAATGTGCAGTGGTGAGGGGGCTTCAGGATAGGTTTAAGAAGCACAACAAGGGTTTTAAATTTTGCAGATTACATGCAGCTTTGAAAGAAAAATAATCGTAAAAATGATGTACAATTATTCATGGAACATCTTTATTCTGTCTGATGTCAAAGCAGTGACAGATCATTTGACGCACATACATTCAAAATTAAATTAATACAGGTAAGATCAATCAAAACAAAATTTCACTCAATATTTGTGCCTAGATATTTTTAGGTGAAACTGCTTTTTTTTCAAACATTTTTATCAACATGCTGTAACAGGTTGATTTTTGTTTTAACAAATTTATTATTTTTTTTTTAATCTGATGCTCTCATCCAACAACTGGCTTTCAATTCATGCATTTTCTGTGTTGTGAAAGTTGTTTGGGTGTATGTATTTTGTCTATGTATTTTCTTATCAATGATATCAGATCGACTTTTTTTATAGTGTGGATCATGTTGGAGAGGTCATGATTACAGCAGGACTACGCAAATGTAAGTCTACAGACACACAACTTCTGTCTTTGGTTTGTTGTGTTTTAAATGTTATTTTATTGTGTCTAGATGCCTGTGATCTCACACTGGATCCAAACACAGTGAACATTCATCTTCGTCTGTCTGAGGAGAACAGAAAGGTGACACGTTTGGAGGAGCAGCAGTCATATCCTGATCATCCAGACAGATTTGATTTCTTTCCTCAGGTTGTGTGTAGAGAGAGTCTGTCGGGACGCTGCTACTGGGAGGTTGAATGGAGCGGGTGGAGGGGGGCTGTTATATCAGTGGCACATAAAGAAATGAGCAGGAAAGGAGGACGTGAAGATTGTAGGTTTGGGTTCAATGAAAAGTCCTGGAGCCTTGATTGCTCTGATGACATTTTCACTGTCTGGCACAATAAACTTAGCACTGACGTACCCGTCCCATACTCCAAGAGAGTAGGAGTCTATCTGGACTGGCAGGACGGCACTCTGTCATTCTATAGTGTCTCCAAAACACACACACTCGCACACTTACACACATTTTACTCCACATTCACTGAACCTCTCTGTGCTGGATTCAGGGTTTTTATTGACACTTCCGTGTCTCTTCGTCAAAATTGGAAAGATTCGATACAATAGGGTGAAAGGTATTTGGAAGGGGTTGAGAAGTTTGGAATATTCACAAATCATTAACATGCAAGAATCAGCTCATGTTTAAGCTGTCGTTAAAGCCAATAGACCATACCAAATACAAAAAACATTCTGAACATCATCTAAATTTAGACAGAAGAACTTATGTAATTACATGAATATATGACTTCCTGCACCTTGCGACACCTATTCAGTTCAGTATTCAGAGACCCATTCAGTCATAGTGCGGTAATAAGAAAACAGTCTAGATACTTCCTGATCACTGTAAAATGTAGCACATAAATTAACAGTAAGCAGTGTGTTAAACAAGGTTAAAAATAACATCAGCCATTTCAGTCTGATATTAATAGTTTGGTTTTCAATGTGCCTGGACATGTTGTAATTTAATCCTGATAAAGATTAGGGGTGAGGTCACATAAGGACGACTGGCTGGCCCACCTGATCAAAGCTGCCAGATTAAACTAGTGGTCTGAAAATAAAACTGTATGTAATTAATATCAGTTGTGTACATATCTAGAGTTGTAATGTGTATTTCTACAAATGCAGTGTGCAGCACTGATGCTGATTTACACAGATAATTTGTACTGTGCTGTTTTATGTCATTTTCAAAGTTCTAACACGTTAACAAAAATAGCATATATTGTGCTCTAGCTCTTAGAGTAGCACAGCTGCTTTCAAAACAATGTAGCTTTTCCAGTAACAACCAAACTTTTCCAACCTTATCAATTTAGCTCAGTAATGCGACTGATAAAAGTTTCCACAAAATATAAAAAAAAACAGTTTTTAACATTGATAATAATAAGAGCTATTATTAATAACTGAGCACCAATAATAATTGAGCATTAGAATTTGTTAGAATTTATGTACTGCTTTGACATATTGTTTTGACCAATGCTGTATAGCTGTTTTGAGGTGTTTTTATTGTCAAACTACACATTTGTTAATGATTAAATATGCCATTATTTTATATGAAGACGTTAATTGTCTTTAATTGACAAAATATTTTAGTTTGTCTTAAGCCCTAGACACACTGCATGATTTCCGGCTGTCCCAGACGAAAGACTGGCATCGTGAAACAATCGTGGCGATTTCTGTGATCGTGGCTCCTAATCGGTGGGCCTGTGTCGTACAGTGAGAGAGGTTCAAAGATGGTCGTTGTCACGGTCTTGCGACCAAAGATAGCCTACGATACAGCGTGATCATCGCACCGTGTGTTTGCTGCTACAATCCACGTTTACTGACCAGCCAATAAAAATGCGACATGAAATCAACGCGACATGGCGCTAAAAAATAAAACTGCTTACCTCAAGCTCTTATGCCTTCCTCTTTCGCCGCTTCTACTTTTTTTCAGCACACATAAAAAATGCAACGGCTAAAGTGTGATTTATCATGCTCTTTTTGTTTACCACTAGTGCATGCTGATGACGTTTTATTCTTCTATAGAAGTGTGTGCGTCGTAGCCTACGAGTCAATAGGTGTCAGGATCGTACAGTCTACACACAGTGATCTTATAGGATTGCTAAAATCATGCAGTGTGTTTTGGGCTTTATAAACATATAGGAGCCACTGAAGCGGACTGCCAGCCGTCAGACAGTTAGAGATTAAACCCCTACTGTCCATTCCTTTGGAGTAAATAAAACAAATTGTATACACTGCATTATTGAAACAAGATGTTACATATTTGTACTAGATGTGTGAGATTAATGTTTAAAAAAAAATAATGAGAAGGCCAAAAAGGGCATGGTTGTGCCCCGCTCTTCCCTAATGTTATTTTAGTTAAAGTCATACTTTAGTTAAAGTCATTTTTATTTTTTTCATTTTTCATAAATGTCAAATTTGTAAAAATTCCATAGTTGTTCTTTTTAAGTCAATGTTATTTGTTGCATTTTTGGTAGAGTGAAATATATAGTTCTTGGAAATCTTAATGGACAAATTCAATCTTATATGGACAATTTCATATAGAAATTCAATTCTTTGAAGCGCTTGAGTTAATTTTTAATAATTGCACAACAGATCACAACAATAAATGGTTTGTATAGTGCAGAGTTCAGACCCAGTACTGCTCCCGCACACCTGTCTGTAATTATCAAGAGTTTCTGAAGATCTTAAATAGCTGGCTCAGGCCCAGCTGTCCACACGAACGCGGGTATTTAAATCGGCCATTCGTCCACACGCAAACACAGCACCAGGTCACTGAAACCCAACATTTTTGAAAACTCCTGCCAGGGTGAAGATTTTCAAAAACTCCAGTTGCAGTGTTATTGTGTAGATGTATCTACTGGAGTTTTTGGCTTGTGACGTCAGAGCATGCGCTGTTATCTCCGCCTACTGGAGACTTTTTCAGGCTTCTGATTGGCCAACATGGCTTTACGGTTGAGATTATCTTGACAGTGCTTCATAGCATACTTTTGCATTTTCCTGTGGACGGAGATTTTTTTTTAAACGGAAGAAGGAAAAACTCTGTTTATAAAAATACCCATGTACGTATGGAATAGGCCTCAGTTGTGTTTAATCAGGGTTGGAGCTGAACTTTGCAGGAAAGTAGATTAGGATGGGGCAGCCCTGCTATATAGGGTCGTGTGAGTGCTGAGATGATCTTCAGGCAGATCGGGTAGCCATGGCGGAGCAGGCAGATCGGGCAGCCATGGTGGAGCAGGCAGATCGGGCAGCCATGGTGGAGCAGGCAGATCGGGCAGCCATGGCGGTGCAGGCAGATCAGGGAGCCATGGCAGTGCAGGCAGAGCAGGGACATGGACGGAACACTTGACTGTGACCGAACACGCAGAGAGTTTTGAATGGCCTCCTTGGCCGTGAAAGGACAAACAGTGAGTTCGTGAACGGCCTCCATGGCCATGACACGACAGACAGTGAGTCCATGAACGGCCTCCTTGGCCATGGCAGGACAGACAGTGAGTTCATGAATGGCCTCCGTGGCCGTGGCACGACAGACAGTGAGTCCATGAACGGCCTCCTTGGCCATGGCAGGACAGACAGTGAGTTCATGAATGGCCTCCGTGGCCGTGGCACGACAGACAGTGAGTCCATGAACGGCCTCCTTGGCCATGGCAGGACAGACAGTGAGTTCATGAATGGCCTCCGTGGCCGTGGCACGACAGACAGAGAGTTCATGAACGGCCTCCTTGGCCGTAACAGGACAGGCAGTGAATTAATAGACGGCCTCCATGGCCGTGACAGGACAGACAGTGAGTTCTAGAAGAGCCTCCATGGCTGTGACAGGACAGACAGTGAGTTAATGAACGGCCTCCATAGTCATGACAGGGCAGACAGTGAGTTCATGGACGGCCTCCGTGGCCATGACAAGACAGTCTGTAAGTTTGTGAACAGCCTCTGTGGCTGTGACAGGGCAGGCAGTGAGTTCGGAAGCAGACGCCACCACCTCAGGAGGTTCTGAGGTTCTGCAGGTTCTGCAGCGGATGCTACCACTTCTGGAGGCACAGGAAAGGCCCTTGGAGCAGACTCGTGGATAAGAGAGGGCTCTGAGACAGACTCATAGGCAGGAGAGGCCACTGAGGCAGATTCATGGACAGGAGAGGCCTCCGAGGCAGATTCATGGACAGAAGAGGCCTCTAGAGCAGACTAATGGACAGAAGAGGCCTCTGGAGCAGACTTGTGGACAGAAGAGGCCTCAGAAGCGCAGTCTGCAGCCCTCACGCTCAAAATGGCGACCGCCATTACAGGACTGGGCAGCAGAGTATGGCAGGACCTCTAAGACGGCGGGGCTTGAGAGCACTGACGTCACCGGGATGCCTGCAGCTCTCACCGGCATCAGTGGTAAGTCCATCACGCTAGCTATCAGTCCTTTCAGTCTTGGCCCAAGCTCTGCGTCCGACTCAGGCGTGGCGGCCATCTTGGCCGGGGACTCAGGCTTAACGTGAGCGGTCTCTGAAATGGCGGCCATGTCATGACGAAACTCTGGAAGATCAGCCAAGACGTGACGAGACTCTAGAAGGGCGGCCATTTTGTGAAGAGACTCCTGTGTGGCGGCCATCTTACAACGAAGCTCCTTAATGGCGGCCATGTTGTGAATAATCTCTTGAGTGATGATGTGAGCAGGCTTTGGCTTGGCAGACATGACGTGAAGAGGACTTGGCGTAGCAGACATGACGGGAGCAGGCCCTGGGGTAGGAGACATGATGTTAGCAGACTCTGGCTTGGCAGACATGAAGTGATCAGGCTTTGACTTGGCAGATATGACGTTAGCAGGCTTTGGCGTAGCAGACATGACGTTAGCAGGCTTTGGCGTAGCAGACATGACGTGAGCAGGCATGACGTGAGCAGGTTCCGTAGACTCTGACATGACTTGAATAATCCCAGACATAACGTGCAAACATTTTGGTGTGGCGGATACTGGAGGATAGCAGGATTCCTCATCAACTATCCCCACAGTAAATGGTGAGCCAGCCAAACGGAGTGCAAAGTCAATGTATTGTTCCAGTGACCAGTGTGGGGTATTGCGTGGCAATAACTGTGAAATGTTTTTGTCCAAACCAAAATGGAAAATGTCTTTAAGGAAAGTATTGTTGAAATCAACTAGGTGACAAAACCCACAAAATTCCTCCACATAATCCTCAATGGAGCGATTACCTTGATGGAGGTGAACTAGGCGATCTGCTGGGTTCGTTTTTGGGGGTCGTGTATTCTGTAACAATTCAGTCCACTGAAGTCGAGCGTAGTGAAGAACCCAAGTTCAGTTTATTTACAGGTGATCCAAACATCCAAACAATAATCCGAGACTTGACTTGACATGAACAGACTTGACTTGACATGAACAGACTAGACTCACCGACAGTGGGTTACAACTTCAATACACTACGAAGACTATGGGAACATGATGGCTACTTATATCAGACAAGAGGGTCACATGAACAAACCAATGGGAAACAAGACACATGACTAAGACAACCAATCAGAACATGACACAATGAACAGAGGAACCAATGGCACGAATAAATGAGGGCAAGGGAAGC